GAGCGAGGGTTTGAGCGACGTTCGAAACCGGAAGTCGGTTTCTCAGTCGGACAGAAGGTGGAGCTGGAGGAGAGAGAGGAAAATGGTGTGAGAAGGGTGAGAGAAGGGTGAGAGAAGGGTAGTGTTGGTATTCGTAGATTTCTCTGAACGTACGCATGTACGTTCTGTGGAGACGTGCCGATCAGAGCTGTCAGGTTATTGTCTCGGCTTTTAATGGAACATCATGAGGCGCGAAATACAGAGCTGCTGAACTGAATTAAATGTCGGTGCGGTTTGCATTGAGGTCCTCGTAGTCGTAGTCGTAGTCGTAGTCGTAGTCGTAGTCGTAGTCGTCGAGGCCGATGCATAATAATGGAGGTAGGCCGGTTGAGTAGGTGGGTACTTCAATTCTCTCAAAACGAACGAAAGAGAGAAACGAATCGAGAACGATGAGGATGTTAAAAGCTAATAGAGAAAAGAGAGATGACGGAAAGATTAGGTTAGAGATATATATTTTATATAATTAGAGAATTAAAACAAGATCAATGCGTTAGGTTTCGTCGATTATTCGTTATCAAAATTCTAATCGAATAGTGCTAATCGGGTAAATTATTTTGTTTTTTAATTAAAATAACGAATAAAATATTCAATCGTTTGCAAGTTGTTTTATATCGCGGTATTATGAAACTTTGATGATAATAAAAGTTAAACAAATAATAATAATAATAATAATAGGAAAAACAATCGAGAGAATTACGCGTAGGATAAAAAAGTTTGTGGAAAAAGAATTATTTGCAATGGCTTTTTGTACGAAAAAAAAAAGAAAAGAGCAATTACGTTAGTCATTTTTGATTAAAATGACTGGGGTTAGAAACACTTTTCAAAACTATGATATTTTGTAACCGCGTATTACAATTTATTGTCAGATGATTGGCTAATTAAAGAATCATTTTCAACAATATATATATATGAGAAAATAGAATAAGGGTAGTATGAAAATCTACAAAACAACAAACGTGAGAGAAGAACCCATTTATATTTTGGCATTTTAATTGGAATAACAAAAGAAAAAAAAAAAATTGTAAAGAAACGAAATTGGTCGAGATACATAAAGGTATAGGATAAATCGAATTGAAAAATCAGTGCACTTTTACGAGAGTGGAAGAGTGAGAAGGAAAAATAGAGAGAGAAAAACAAATCTATCTATCTAGATGTGGATACACAGATAGATAAATAAATGCATAGATAGATAGATAGTGTATCGAAGGCGAGAGACCGGTGGTATTAATTAGCCATATCCGATATCCATTTTATTTCGTTTGGCCGATGAGTTTGGCGATCGTTGCGCACATGTCTCAAAATAAACGGTTGTCAATCAAACGGTCTGAGGGAGATGTGTTACCACGCGTGGGTGGAGCACGAAGTGACCGTACGACTGAATGACTGAACGAGAGAGAGAGAGAGAGAGAGAAATCTATATAGAGATAGATAGATAGATAGATAGATAGATAGATAGATAGATAGAATGAAATAAAAAGAGAAAGAGAGAATTCCGAGAGTGGGGAAAATACCGTCGACGCGTGACGAACGATTCGTATCTCGTCGCGGATTACGCGCACCATCCGGACGCCAGAACGTTTTCGATAAAACTATATATTGATTCGTTATCGGTATATTCGTTCTTTTCGCAGCTCGACCCTTTCAATTATTACCCCCTAACCCCCCACTCCCCCACCCACACACCCGAAAAAACGATTAGTTTATTGACTCGATATTTTCATCGATTCGTATGAACCACACACATACACACACGCACACACACATATACACACATTTATATGGTAGGGGATGGGAGTTTTTCATATGAGATCATTTCTCTTGACAAGATTATTCCCAGCTACTCGTTATGATTTTACTCGACTTCCTGGACAAATTTAAATTTAGGATTAATTTTTTTTTTTTCATATGATAACATTTAATTTTCTTCTTTTCGAATGAAATCCTCTTCTTGTCGCACGTCGCGCGTTTAAAAATTAGTTAAATAATAATTAATTGTAGGTGTAATTTTTTCTTTTCTTTTTTTCTTTTTTTTTTTTTTATTCGTAATCAAATGTAATTAATTAGGCGGCCAAGCGATTGCCTCCCCCGCCCCCTTTTTTTATTCGTAGGATAAAGCGATCATGATTATTTCCAATCATTTCAAAAATTATATTTTGAATTTTTTTTCTAAAAGTATACTTAGTACAATCATTTTGTTAGAAACTTAATCTATTATAATCCTTTTTAACTTGTTATCCTTACCAATTGAAGAAGATTTATCTCTGACCAATGCCACTGATATCTAACATAAAAAGAATTAACGATGTACATGTACGATTACTTTCTTCCTATAGACCACCATGAAGAAAAATAGAAGAAGAAAAAGAAGAAGAAAAAGAAGAAGAAGAAGAGTAGGGGACAAATATATAAATATAAATAAAAGAATAAATACACACAAACACACCGAGAGAGAGAGAGAGAGAGAGAGAGAGAGAGAGGAAAAATACTTTTTTGAAGAAACCACTCTCACGAGACACATCTTGGTCGTAGAAGCGTGGCCACCGGAAGTTGTCGTTTCCCAGCCAAGAAAGACGAAGACAGACAATAAAGACAAGCATGACGATAAAAAAGATAAAGAAAATGACTAGAATGAGGGTTGGAGGAGGAGGAGGAGGAGGAGGAGGAGGAAAGAGGACTAGAAAAACGATAGAAAGACGATAGAAAGACGAACGAAGCTAAAGCCTATGCCGCTTTTAAATATAGTCAGCTAGCCGGTTATATTTGTGTGTGTGTGTGTGTTCGTCCACGTGGAGTGAGCATATATGCGTATACATTGCTACGTTATCAAAGGATTGAGAAGGCAGGCGAAGCGCCTCTGCATGAAATTTTGCGTGCATTATAAATGAACGCAGCCTTGCAGGTGGGGGACACGAAGAGATGGGGGGGAGAGATGGGGGGGAGAGATGGGAAAGGGCTGCGTACGAAGGAGCAAGTGTGCGTGTTTAAGAGAGAAAGCGAGAGAGCAAAGTCAGAGCAACGTAGTAGTTGGGTTAGGTTGGGCCTGGAAGCGTTGGTTGGTCGGACGTGGCTCTAACCTACCGTAACGCTATAAAAATAACGGGCGACTTCTGTCCCCCTTCTTCTTCTTCTTCTTCTTCTTCGTCTTCGTCTTCGTCTTCTTTAGTCTTCTTTCGTCTTCTTCTTTCTTTTCTCTCTTGCATCGTCGTCGATCATCTCGTCTTCCTCTCTCACGTCCACGTTCCACCACTCTCTTCCTTGCACCAACATCCTACTAACACTGCTCCTGCTCCTGCTGCTCCTGCTGCTGCTGCTGCTGCTGTTTCTACTGCTGTTGCTATTGCTTTTTCTCTTCAATGCATATAGTACTTGCAGAAGAAGAAAAAGAGAAATGGAGAAAAAGATAGAGAGAAAGAGAGAGAGAGAGCATGTGCGTGCAGAGCATGTGTTACGCGAAAGGGGCCCCATTCGTACATTGCCGAGTGTGTTTGCCTCGACACAAAAATGCCTGCCTTGGCAGCACGATCTTCCTTCTCGTAGGGCCCCTTGAAGAACTCTACCTTGCCAACTATTATTCACCATCTTTGATCTTCCTCGACAATAGTATTTTTTTTCTATTTGGCTTTTAGTTAAGAGTTAATTTCTTTTTTTTTTCTTCTTCTTTTCTTTTTTTATTTGATATTCTTAGACTCTTTGGGTGGATTTTTGTGCGGGGAAAAAATTGCGAAAGATTTATTTAGATTGAATGTTAACTGGTACACATCCGGCGATAAACATTTATTTTTATATACTTTTATTGACCTTTTTATACGTAGGCGTAGAATGTAAGGATATACATATATATATATATTATACATATATATATATATATATATATATATTAAAATATAAATTCAAAAGGGAAAAAAAGGATACGAGTGCGTTGAAGCTTTCGTCACGAATGCTTCAAGACGCACCAATTAAAAAACTCGAGTTAGGCCTGACTTTAGATGACGTTATTAGGAGGAGGAGCCTTCTCTTTAGACTGGGAACCCTATTGGCCGACACGTTTTGAAGGTGGAGACCTGGGCAAAAGCCCACTGTACTTTCGAGGAATAAGGTATCCAAACATAGGGAGTTAGTTATGTGTATTTCAAAGAATTTATTTCACGATCCTTTGCATTCGTCATTATTAAAATTGAACATTATCGTTATGACATTGCTCGGAGGTGTTGCTTTCAATCTATTGATTAGGTTTATTAAATTGTTCGTGATATTATTTTGTCGTTGTATTATAATAATTTTACTGATCGTTCGTTTAATCGTACGAATGAAATGTTCAATCTTATTAGAAGGTTGACAAAATTTAAAGCCTTTATGTTTTATCAATCCTTTCGAATTTATTATTTTTCTCTTATCTAATATATAATCAATAATTAAAAATAATATATATTTTAGAATTTCGATGGATCCTTGAAAATTCTTTTTCTTTTGAAAGGTACGAACAAATTTTGTTCGATTATCGATAGATAATATTTGAATGAAGAAAGAAAATGCAACGTTGCACGAGAAACGTTTAGGAGCGTTACGAAGAGAGGCATCGCGTAAGGAAAAAAAAAAAAAGATAGTTCGAGCCACGCCTTCTCTCGTTTTCGAGGCATCATGCGAATTACAATGAAACTCGTACGTAAGTAAGTCTGCGAACCTACGAGCACGTTAACTCCCTTCGTCTTTCGAAGATCGGCCTTCGCGGAATACCGCGGAGTTACTTGGGCCATCATGTGCTTCTTCTTCTTCTTCTTTCTTTTCTTTTTTCTTTTTTCTTTTTTTCTTATTCCGTACGTTCTCCTTTCCCCCTTAGCGTTTCCTGTCGGTTCTTCTCTTCGTCTCTGGGACTCGATACCAACCAGCATTGTACAAAGACGAAGACGAAGACGATGACAACGACGAGAGTTTGTCTTGTTCCTTTCTCTTCTCTTTTTTTTCCCCTCTCTTTCTCAGTTGCTTTCTCCATTATGCCAGAAGCTGTAGACAAGGAGAGAAGTCAGTGGAACAGGTGCCAACCGGTTCGAGAAAGTTTCCACCAATAAGCTGCGTTAGGCCCTTACCGTGTACTTCCGAAGACAGGTGCCTGCCACGACCCCGTGCGTTATGTCCTTTTACATGCTTTTTAAACAATAACTCATCTTTCACTCGACTTCTCTCTCTCCCTCTCTCTCTGTCATTATTAATCCGATTAGTTTATTTTATCTCCTTAGATATATATTTTCATAATATTTCTATGAAACGATTATTGAACAACACATTTATTGAGTATTATCATTACCCATATTATTAGCTTATTTCTATATCAACATAATAGTTTATAGATTTCTTAGAAAGTAATGCATTTATAGTCGGATATTTGCACAAGTGTACACCAACATATTGAGAATTGAATTAATAAACGTTCCTCATTTTCACCTGTTCGGTCACATAGTAAAAAAATAAAAAAAAAACAAACACCTACCATCTATCATAACATCTCGAATAGATTAACGTAGACCAGACACCTCAAACTTGAAGCACAAAGCTAGACACGATCCTCCGTGTCCACTAGTCCTGACCTTATTCCCACCTCCTCCTCTCCTCCTTCTCCTCCTTATCCATCGGGTCAGCTCCTTCATCGTCGTCAGTGTCGTCGGCAACGATGACATCGAGAGCTCGTCTAGCCATGAAAAGCAGCCTCGCACACGTGGTTCGTCTTCTTGCAAAAGGCAAGAAAGTTAGAAAGAAAAAGAGAGAAAAGAAAAAACACACACGCACACACAGACACAGAAAGACAGAGAGAGAGAGAGAGAGAAGGGGAAAGTAAAGAGAGGGAGAAAGAAAGAGATAGACGTAGCGAGGAGTGGCAGGGTCGGTTGGCAGGGTTGGTGGTTGGCAGGGCTGGTGTTGGCAGAATGGCTCGCAGGCAGGCAGGATGTGTGTGTTTGCGTGTGTGTGTGTGTGTAGTACGGTAAGGCACGGAACGAAGCAGTGCAGAGCGGAAGGAAGAGGCACGGGGGCTCGTACACGCCCCCTATGCGTCTGCTGGGGGATTGGGGGTGGTTGCAGAGCGGTAGCGGTAGCGGTAACGGTAGCGGCGGCCTAAAGGGTAGCTATACGCACTGCGAGTTACGTTGGGGTAGGCCTATGCTTGGCCTGCGTGGGCGTGGGTGGCTCCACCCCGTCGAGGATCATCCTTCTGGCTGGGGGGATGAAAGAAAGCAAGCTAGCTAGCTAGCAAGCAAGCAAACGACCGACCAACCGACCGACCGACCGACCGACCGAACACTCGTCCGACCGAGAGAGACGAAACGACCAGGTATGCCAGAAGAAAAGAGTAAAACGACTCTGATAGAGAGTGAGAGACAGACTGACGGACAGAGAGAATGAAAAAGAGAGAGAGAGAGAGAGGGAACAGTTTTACTCTTTCTCTCTCTCTCTCTCTCTTTGACTCTTTCTGGCGTGCCATGCGGAGGCAGCGCCGATCGAGGCGACTCTATGAGAGTCTCCCAACGTCTGCATCAACTCGTGTTGGTATATACAACACACACATATACACACACAGACAAATACATACATAGGTATATATATTCTCTCGCATTCTCTCTCGTACGCACTTACCCATGGCGGCGGCCGACTATGCCGGGCCTTCCACCCTCGTTTCCGGATTTTTCCTTCGGCCGAGTCATCAACCCTCGCGGACGACCTGCGGTCATCCACCTGGTCGACACTCGGCCTACCTCGAAACTTGAAACCCAGTGCAGCAGCAGCACCAGCAGTAGCATCGATGCTCTCTCTGACCGGCACCAACCAAAGACCTCGTTTCTTTTCAATGACGATTGATATACCAAGGAGAAACGAAGGAATCTCTTCTCCTCTCTCTGGTCTCCATCATCGTTACCAATTAACGCAAACCAAAGAGAAACAGATGGAAGGATACCTTCCTTCTACCTTGCTTATCAATAGACAGATATGTATGTCTGACCGAACATTCAATGACTCTCTCTCTCTCTCTCTCTCTCTCTCTCTCTCTCTTTCTCTCTCTCTTCAGTAATTAGGATAATGCTTCCGGATATTATCAGATCTTTTAGAATTTTATTTCTTTTTATTACCGCGTCGCGAGGGTTCCTTTTTTTTTTTTTTTTTTCTTTTAATATTAATACCGTCATTTCAAATTTGAATTTATCGAACCTGTCCGTCATTTTCTCTTGACTTTTGTTTTTTTCTTTTTCATCTTAAATCTTTTCAACATCGTGATATTTCATTTTTCCGAGATAACGTATCGCGAATCACGCGTCCGTCATATTTGTCTTTTCTTTTGAAATATTTTACATTTCTAGAGATAATTCACTATATATATATATATATATATATAATCTGTCAATGAATTTATCCAAGAAAGAAGAGAGAGAGAGAGTTCATATTCTACGTCAGATGTTCATCACTGTAATGTTCCCTCGATACATCGTTACGTTTCATTTGCGGTGTCATGGATGTTTATCGTGCCTTCCGGTGACGATTTCCAGAAGAGAAACAGAGATAAACGTAAAGGAAACGAGAGAGAATCTTTGCTTTGAGAAGAGACCGACATATTCGAGATCCATCTCGAAGGAGTCACAGGATATAAACATAAGTACGAACCACCCAAGGGGAAATATAAGCGAGTTATTCTATAGATGTTTATTTCTCGTGCAATAAAAAGTCGTCTCCCGTATGTATATAACGATTCAAAAAATTCGTAATCTTTTATTGTCTCTTAGAAAATGGATATGATTTTGTATCTCGTAAAAATCAAATTAAACTTGATATAGATACGAGAAACTACACGTTTGAAAAATTGAAATATTTCCGAATAAAAAAAAAGAAAAAACAAAAAAAAACAGAATCCATTGCAATTTTTTCATTGATATCGTAAAATAAAATAAAATAAAAGAGAGAAAGAGAAAGAGAAAAGAAAGAAAGAAAGAAAGAAAGAAAGATGTTAAAAGATGGTAGGCGTTAAACCATCACCACCATTATCATCATCGGGAGGGGAGATATAGAAAAGAAGAAAAAAAGGAGAAGAAGAAGAAGGAGTAGGAAGGCTCGTTATTTTCTGTCTCTGTCGATCAGCAAAAGACCTTAGGTAGAGCATTCTGAAGAAAATCTGGGCGGCGAAGTGTAGAATGTGCCGAGGTGGTGGTCGAGAATAATAAGAAGAAGTAGAATAAGAAGAATAAGAAGAGGAAAGAGGAAACCGGGCGAGCTCAGCCAAGCAAGTAAATTCAGGAGACGGTGTGGGCCGGGCCCTTGGTTGGCCTTGTTGGTACCCTTGGATTTCGGTCGGTGTCCTTGGCACTGATGGCGGCCACTCGGTCCACGAACACTTTATTCCTTGCATCGTCGTCGTCTTCGTCTTCGTCGTCGTCCATCGCGATGCATTCTACTTTTCTCCCTTTATCCAAGTTAAGCCCCCCACCTCTATTACTGGGATCTTCTCTCTTTCTCTTTTATTTATTTATTCTTTTGGGCCGGCGGCCGCTCTTTGTCCCTCGACGCGTCGGCTGGTTGGTTGGTTGTTCGCTTCGTTGGACGTTGAACGTTGCTCCTTCGAATACTTCTGCTTAGGGTATACTGACCTACCACGACTGCCATGAGAAAGACGAAGAGAAAGAGAAAGAAAAAGAGAAAGAGACTGCTCGCTGAAAGAGAGAGAGAAAAAGAGAAAAAGAGAGAATGATAGGTACAACGTCGTATAAGAAAGACAGAGAGAGAGAGAGAGGGAGAGAGATGGAGGAAGGGAGGGAACGTACCTGGCAGGTAGGTACACACCTCACTTCGGCGGGCCAGCAAACTTCGGGTACAGTCACGTTCAATATTCGACTTTCCTTTCAGATAATTCCTAAGAAGATTTTACCAACTTTTTCTCTTTTACATCGAACTCGATTAGTTATACTACATTGTTAGGATTAATCTGTTCTATTGGATTTATTGAACCGTTCAAATCTACTAGTTTTGTATTTGTTTTTGATCGCAATAAAAACTCGTCCTCGTTATGGTGTCGTGTTATAATTGTTCCTGCTTTTTTTTTATCTCCGACATGAAACTTCATTAATCGTTGTAATTCAATTCTACGGGATTAGATTTAATTTTAACCGTTTCGATAAATTAGTCATTTTTTTGCATTTTCAACGTGTACGTAATTTAACGACGCCTCGCGAAGTATTCTTTATTTTGATATTAAATCTTATTTTATTATAGTAGATGTTTTCATAATACGTAATCGCGCGAAGTATTAGATTCATTTTGATAGTATAAAATACATGAATATCTTGTAAGTTCGATAAGAAAGATTTTCCTTTCCTTCTCTTAAACGACTCATAAAATACATGAACAGGAGTATTTAAATACATGTGTTACAGGGAAAGATCTATCTATGTATGTTGCATAAATATGTGGATATTTTATTGCTATCATTTACATACATGTACATCGAACAAGGTACCGTTGGCCGACTTCGAGTATTCAGATATTTTCGTTGACGAAACTACGTCGTTAATACACTCTTCTTCTTCTTCTTCTTCTCCTTCAATCGAATTTTATCAACGAGTTGTGAAATCCTTGTGGTTTTCTACTTTCAACAAGATTTAATATGTTTTTAGCTTCGGGACGACTTCTCTCTTACAATTACAAATTGTTTCTATACTTTATTACCTTATTATATCTTATCGATTAAATATATTTCTAAAAATATTTCGTGTATAAATCGTTAAATAATTTATTATTACAACATCTCTCGCAACTCCCCGATATAAAAAACAAACAAAATTTAATAAGACGTATCTATTATATATGTTGTTATATATATATAAATAATAATATATTATTGGTAATAATGTGAACTCTGTAAGATACGATTAACGAACAAACTATAAATATTCGTTGGAAGTGTTGGTAGATGAGCGTAAAGTTTAAAGAAAAAAAAAAAAACAAAAAAAGAACAAGTCGACGAAGGCAACTCGTTAAAAAAATGTTTCTAGACGAGCTGTCGAATCGTGTTTGGGTGCTTTCCTTTCTAGATTACAGCGTAGTGTCGCTCGTTTCCGGCGCGTCTAGCGCGCGTACGTTCTCCGACTTCTACTTCTTTCCACCCAGTCGAACTTGTAATTTCCTCCGATCGTTCGAACCTCTTTTCTGATGGTGTGGTAGTCGTCGGAACCGACGACGATCGCTCAAGGCGCACGCGTCTACTATTCTCGGTTAGCATGAGTCGTGCGATCATGCGTATCCATCTTGCGAAAGCGAGTTAATCTTTTTCTAAAACATTATTCATCTTCCATTACTCTCTACATTGTTTTTTTTTTGTTTTTATTAAATCCTGATGAAATTATTGGGAAGTAGTCAATCATTTGTATTTATACTTTCCACTGATATAATATTTTGCCAGAAATTACTAGAACAAAACTTTCTTCGATTTATCTCGCGCGTATAAAAAAAATATTATATATATATATATATATATTCATATATAATTAATATATATGTGATGTAAGTTTTGTGAAATGGTAATAAATATTTTTCGAGATCCGTTCGTGCCAAAAGGTTTTTGGCCTCGGTCATTGTCAAACGCGTATCTCTCTGCTGCGTGTAACAGAGAATCGCTGAAAATGTTATTAGAGTCGTCGTTGTTGGTTTTGTCCAGATACCCACGCACGGATACGAATTCTCGCGGAATCAAGAAGCAAAACGCACGCGAAATTCGTCGGCCGTGACGCCGCTCCGTGACACACACACACACACA